AAAGGGGGCCAGTTTTCCTAGCCATGTCCACACCGCTGGCTCTCATCATCACGATTCTCTTTTCTGCATTTGTTCTGTGTGAGAAACTCACTTTTGGAAGGTACTAACATTACCATTCAATTCATCAATTCAAATTATTTTCTTCTTTTTGTGGAATTCCTTGGTGACTGTTATTAATGTGCCAAATGTGTGGGCTTTCTTTCAGTATTCTTGGTGGTGTTTTGCTAGTTGGAGGACTGTACAGCGTTTTGTGGGGGAAAAGCAGGGAACAAATGCTGGACCAGGGAAATTGCAAGCCTCCTGAGGTCGATCAAGAATGCTCAGAATTCAAACAAGAGGAGGCTTCTCATAAATCACCAGACATACTTGTCTAAATCTCTCATTCTGGGACAAAAAAAGTTCCCAATTAGGCAGAGATTATAGTTAAGGTAGTCTGATTATTGCAATAAAAATACAGTTGAGATTCACAGTTTTGAGGAAAGTGTGCCCTCTGCTAGCAGGCTTTATTCTTGCTTGTTCTAAATTTGAATTAGATACTCAATACATAAGTGCGCAAACACTAAATGCAAATAATAATAAATGCGTAATTTAAACATAAATCGAAACCGAAACAAATCTATAAAAAAACAGCCTCAGCCACATCGGGCAAAATTAATACAAGCCTCCTCGAGACAGGACTCTATGCATACAATTTGGGAATCCCAGTGCATGTTTTATTTTATAAATATTACAAAGATAATCACAATGTACACCCTCGACTACTTATTTTCCAAAAAAAAAATGGTTATTAGATAATAAATAGGAAATGTAAAATTGGTCCAATCTGTCTATCTCAATAAAGTGTCATGTGTGAAGGATACATTCTCTCGTGATGTAACCGATCAATCATTAGTAAAATACATACATACACAATGCCACGTAAGACGAAATTCATAGCACTCCGGCTTGGTCTATCACGCTACACCATCTCCACCACGTGGTATATTTATCACATAAAATATTTTCTCGTCTATACAGATTAACATAATAAATTAAACGATTCCACTTAATAAATTAATTTGACTAGTACTTTTGAAATATAATCCTACTAAAAAAATCAAAGCACATAAAAAGGGGAAAGTTGCATAAATTTCTCCGAACTTTAGGCTTAATAGAAGTTTGACCCTAAACATTTAAACAGTACACATTATCCCCCGCCCCAAATTTTCATTTTGATACTGCTGTTAACCCGCTGTTATATTTTCCACTCGACTTTTAGGGGGTAAATATGTATTTGCATCTCATTTTTTTATGAAGCTATGTCAAGTTGAAGGATGACAATTGGAAAATTAAACTATGTACTGACAATTGGTGGGTAGTCTTATCTACCTAACTAACACAGCCTGACATTTGTTATGGGAGTAGGGAGTCGGTTCATGGAGAGACCATGAGAGACTCACTTGGATGCAGTTAGATGTACGCTAAGGTATGCAAAGGTACATTTGATTTTGGGCTTTTGTATAAGAAAGAAACATTGTATGAGGTAGTAGGGTTTTATGATGCTAACTTTGCTGGAGATCGTGACATGAGGCGAATAACTACCAGGTAAATATTTAGTCTTGGATCAGTAGTGGTGTCATGATATAGTAAAAGATAGCCAATTGTGTCAGTAGAAACTGAGTAATGGCAGCTAAAGAGGGTACATGGCTAGGAAGCTAAGAATAGAGAAGTAGTAATGGTAGCTCAACAGAGTACATGGCAAGTACAGTTACTAGAGGAATTCCATCAACCGGTCGACTACCCGACATGGCTATATTTTGACAATCTGCCAGCCATAAGCTTGGGAAGAATCCTATGTTCCATGCAAGGACTAAGCATGTAAAAGTGTCACTTCTTACGAGAGGAAGTATCACTGGAGAAGATAAAGATGGGATACGCCAAGACAAGTGATCAAGTTGCACACCAAAGGACTTGGAGCTGCTAAGTTCGAAAAGTTTCGAAGGCAACTTGGTATAATTGCAAGGTCTACGCTAAGAGAGAGTAGCCAAGGAGGGGGAGTATTGAAGAAGCGCCGCCTCTCTCTCTCTCCCCTTTTCTCGTTTTTCTTTTCTCTCAGGATTTTTCCTCCCTTTCTAGAAGCCACCTTTTCCAGATTTTTCCTACCAACTTGAGCAAGTTGGAAAGTTGACAACTTGCTAAAGAAGAGTGTGGAGACTTCCTCCACCGACGTAGCACCAGTATAAATAGGCAAGACCCCCTTCCAATTTTATTTAGTAAGACTGAAGCAAACATATGGTGTGAGCATTAGGTCTCCAAGTGTGAGAAGTGAATTAAATGTGAGGTTTGCGTGGGAGTGAGTGTAAAATAACTATGTATCTGAAGCAAATGTTGTGAGATAAGAATACCGTACGTGCCACAATTTTCGTACAACACTTACTTGAGTGTTATAACAAAAATTTCGATCACCTGAGTGTCATAATTAATGTACTGCGCTCACTTAAGGGCCATAGCTATTTATCCGATCACTTGAGTGTCATTTAACTTTTCAATTAATCACTTGAGTGACATAACTTTTTATAAACGTTCACCATAAGTGCCATGCCATGTCAGATTTTCGGCACTTGAGTGAACATTTTTAAAAATATTTGGCACTTAAGTGATTGATTGAAAGTTGTGACACTCAAGTGAATATTTTTTAAGAAGTCGTGGCACTTAAGTGAGCGCCGTGTCTGAACAAAAAAAAATAAATGCTGTACGAAAGTTATGACACTTGTAGTGTTATTATCTCCAAATATTTTATATAAATAGTAAAGCTATTTTTTAATTGCTATTTTGAAGAATAGCAAGTGCGGGGCTCACTCAACAGCACATGGCTTCTCACCTAAAATTAAGATCTTAGATTCTATGTTTGTTTCTACTCTGTATGACCTCTTGGGCCAGAAACAAAAGGAAGTAGCTTTTGTATGAATTCCCAAGTGCATAAATGTGCGGGACCTAATATATCGAATGACTGCCAAAACAGAAACACGTTGATTATTTAACTTAATGAATTTTTTCCTATATAATACGGCAAACAGTGAACAGTGGTAACTAGGCTGACATTTTATGGGAAAATTGTCCAAAAAGTCCTAAAACTATCGCACTTTTGCTAATTTAGTCATAAACCTTTCAATTTTACCAATTAAATCCTAAACATTTTCACATTTGCTATTTAAGTCCTTTCTGTTAATTTTTTGCCAGAATTCTCTAACGTGGACACCAACCGTCCTACGTGGCACAACTGGCGGTGACGTGGACAAATTTTATTGATTTTTTAATACTTTTTCAAATTATTTTAATTATTTTTATATTTTTTATTTCTTTTTCCTTATCTTTTTCTTTTTTTTTCGCTCTTCTTCCTTTGCTAGTTGTCCAGCCTCAGAGATGGCCTGCAACCGGCTAGAGGCTACGACCGGCAAGGGTCGACCTCGCCAGCCTCAGGCGAGGGATGACCTTGTGGGCCTTGGGGAGATCGACCCTCGCCAGAAGCTGGCGAGGGTCGCCCTTGCCGAAGGCTAGTGAGGGCAAGGTCAACCTCGCCTGAAGCAAGCCAAGGGTGACCTCACCGGCCACAAGCGAGGCTCGCCCTCGACAGATCCGGCGAGAGCAAGTCTTGACCAAGGCCAATGAGGTCGTCTTCGCTAGATCCCTACGAGGGCGACCTCCTCACCAGTCATAGCCTTTGGCTGGTAGCTGGGTGACCGGCAAAGGAAGAAGAGGGAAAAAAAGAAATAAATAATAAATAATAATTTTAAAAAATTAAAAATTCAAAAAAATATTAATAAATTTTATCTACGTCAGCGTCTGCCGTGCCACATAGGACGGCTAGAGTTCACGTCAACGAATTCCGGCCAAATGGACTCAATTGAAAAAAAGGTGAAAAAGTATAGACTCAATTGGAAAATTTGAAAGATTTAGGACTGAATTGGCAAAAGTGCAATAGGTTTATGACTTTTTGGACAATTTTACCGACATTTTATCTACAACTTGGGTCATTGAGAAAAGGGGGCCAGTTTTCCTAGCCATGTCCACGCCACTGGCTCTCGTTATCACCATTCTCTTTTCTTCATTTCTCCTGTGTGAGATCATCACTTTTGGAAGGTAGTAACTAACGTTATCATTCATATTCATCCATTCAAATTAGTTTCTTTTTTTGTGGAATCCATTGATGATTGTGATTCGTGTCCCAAATATGTGGGCTTCTTTCTTCAGTATTCTTGGTGGGGTTTTGCAAGTTGGAGGGCTCTGTAGTGTTTTGTGAAGGAAAAGCAGGGAACAAAGCCTGGATCAGGGAAGTTGCGAGCCTCCGGAGGTTGACCAAGAATGCTCACAAGTCAAACAAGAGGAGGCTTCTCATATATCAGTGGACATACTTGTCTGAATCTCTTCCTCTCTCTGAGAAAAAAGGTTTCGAATTAGGCAGAGATTACAGTTAAGGTAGTCTGGTTACTTGCAATAGAAATATGTACTTGAGACTCCGAGTTGTGAGGAAAAGGTGCCCTCCCCTATCTGCCTTTGTCCATGATTGTTCTATATTTGAATTCTGTAGTGTATTGAAGCACGTCGGCATTGCTGTTTCCGTCTGTTCAAATGTACCAGGTGATGGAAGGAATGATCCTCAGATCGAGTGGTTTTGACAATATTTCTATTGTCAATTACACTACGATAAAAACAACTAGAGAGAACTTTTAAACAAACTCAATTTTGTCGACAATTGCGAAGGCATATCAATTTTGTTGTTAAGCCAGCCATTAATGTGCCAAAAACCAAATTCCATTGCAAGAAGGTGAATTGTTAGCAGCAAAACTGTTTTCGGCATGATTGATTCTGTGTTTCAACGCAGCTTCGCAAAATCTCTCTTATAGTGTGTTGAGGGATCGAAGTGGAAAAATCAGTCAATTAAGTTTCACTTTTAATGATATCCAAGCAAAAGGTAAGCAAAAACAGCAACATCATCATCATGCTAGAACTCAAATTAGGCATAATCAAAGTAAGCCAAAACTATAAGTTCTGAACTTCTGATCACAAACGGCGAACAATGCCAAGAATCATGGCATGTGTTGCCATGGAAAAGTACTCCTTTTAAGCTCAAACCATAAGCTCTGGAACTGCCTTACTCACATTATTTCCACGTTCTCATCGGCTTTTTCCACGATTTTCTCCATCTGCTTCGACTTTCTGACAAGTTTCGGGGTCGCCGCATCTATTTTCTGTGTTTCATCAGACTCTTCTTGAACAGCATCTCCAGCAGCAAAAGCAAGTTGCTCTTCAACTATAACTCCTGATTTTCCACTTTGTTTGGCTTCACTGGCCAAGTTGCTGTTTGGAATATCTCCTTTACGTGATTGTTTCACTAGCTCAGTCGATGCCTTGTCCTTTATAGCCGATTCCTTGCCCTCCTGATTTTGCACCACACATGATTTTAATTTTAAGGCATTGCAAAAACATCATCTAGCAGGTGTTGCCAAATTCGAATCTTGGCGGCTAACAAAATGTAGGTCAAGATTAGGACTTTTTAAAAAAGATAACCCAGTAATAAAATTTCCATTTAAGATTGCCTGTAAGCAATTTTTTCTTGTCACTTAGGTAATTTTAGAAAATATTTATCAAAATGACTTGATTTCACTTTTTGAAGAAAAATATTTTCAACTTGAATGAACTTATTAAACGGTTTATGTGCGGAGAAATAGTAATATAAAATTAGCTCAATTTGTCTATCACGAGAAAGCATCTATATTTGGCTAGGCTTTGGCATAACCCTCTAAAATCCCTTAGCCCAAGGTAAGTCCGTAGAAGTTTTGGACTTTGAGCATTTCCGGAATGTTAATACATTTTTCTTTTCTAGTTTTGTCCTCGCTAAACTTTCAAAATTCTGGACATACCCTCACCTAGCGCAACGTCACCGGCAAGCCTCAAGCGAGGAGGCCCTGGGTCGTCGCTCGGGGCTCGCGCAACCCCCAAGGCCGCCTTGCTTGAGGTCATGCAACCTCAGGCAATGACCGCCGACGTCTGGCGAAGGGTTTGAGATATTTTTTATAAAAAATATTAGCAAAAGTCATTTTCAAGTGTAGTTTGTTACAAATAGCATTTAAATTTTAAAAAAATTCACTTTTAAATTATATTTGACCAAATACTATTTGCATTTCCAAAAAAAAAAAACTCTTTAGCCTAAACCTCTCTGCATTTCCCTAAAAGCTTTTCCCAAAAGCCCAACCAAATACAACTTATGTGCAAAAGATACCATGTCACGTGGTGTAAACGACTAATTAATAGTAAGATACATACACACATGGTGCCAAGTACAATGAGATTCATAGTACTTAGGCTGGGTCGATTACGCCACATCATCACTATCATATGGTGTATCCGTTACCTAAAATACTTTCGCCTCTATTATAGATAGAGAATATAATAAATTAAACAACTCCACTTAATAAAATTAGTTTTAGTACTACTTTCCTTTAAAAAAAATTCTACTCAAACTTTCATATATTACACGTTACCCTCTATTTTTATTTTTCACAGCCGTCAACCCTTCGTTATAATTTTCGTTAGCATGTGTAATACATGACTTTTAAGGGGCAAAAGTTTATTTCCATCTCATCTTTTAAAGGAAACATCTCTTTTATCCCAGACAAATTAATAGTATATTGATATAGAGGTGAGCGGTTTCAAGTTCTATACAGATTCCAGGTTCATATAGATTCCACTTGGAACCTGAAATCTATCCGTTGGAATAGGTTCCTCATTGTTTAGAACTTGAAACCTACTATGCATACCCTGAAACCAGGAACTTACCCTATCACAGGTCCCAGGGTCGATTTGAAGGTCTATCCAGGTTCCATATATATTATTAATTGAATGATTGCAGTTAAACATCATTTTTTTATGACCATCACTTGCTACTACAATCAACTGACCACAACTTATATTTAGACACTCGAAAAATATGAAACATTAACAAAGTAAAAATCTCAGTCATAAAATCGAAGCTCAGACTAGTGGTTCCAGATTATACACTCATCATTGGATGCCATGGAATACCGTAGGATCGCTCGAAGACACACACAAAAAAAAACGCAAAAACTTATTCCAGGTTCTAAGTTTCAGGTTCCAAGTTCTACCTACCTACAACCTGGAACCTACTCGTCCAAACAGATTCTCCAATTTTTGGAACTTGGAACCTACCATGCATACCTTAGAACTAGGAGTGAGTATGGTCCAGGTGGGCGATTCCCACCCTAGAACCAGAAATCGCTCACTAAGGACCAGTTCCGAAAAATTTGAATCAGGAACCGCCCGTTGGTTCCATGGATCCACTTGGGAACCGCCCATGAAACCGGTCCCACTAGCCAAGGATGAAGACAGAAAGACGAAGACGGAGACGGAGATGGAGAGTCGGAGACGGTAAGATGAGCATCGACCAAGAAGAATGAGAGAGTGAGAGTGAGCGTGAGGTGAAAGCGAAAGAAGGTATTTCTCGGCTCAATGTGAGGTTGTGAGCGTCGAGCGAGTTAAGTTTAGTTTAGGGACTTAGGATTTTTCTTTTCTTAAAAAAATTAAAATTAAATAAATATATCGTATTTATTATTATATTACCGGTCCGGTCCGGGCGGGCGGGCGGGTGGTTCCACACCTAGAACTGGGAACCGGACCAATACCTACCGGTTCCAAAGAATTGGAGCCGGGAACTAGACCGGAACCCACCGATTCTAAAATATTGGGATCGGAAATCGGACCGATTCCCTTAGGAACCACCGGTTTCGATCTAATTTTGGGCGGTTCCCGATTTTTTTGCACACCGCTACTTGGAATCAGACATGTTCCCACTGGTCCAGTTCTCAGGTTCCATATTCTACCTATCACCATACTCACCCATATATTGATATATGCCCAATATTAGTTATAGTATGGATGTTTAAAATTTACAAACTGATCGTGGGTTTAATAAGACTTAGTGGCTTTCACCGGACGAAATTTAGCGTACGTTTATTTCACAAAAAACGTAACGTTTTTGGAAAAGGTTTTCCAGGAAATCATTTTCCAAGAAAATGGTTTGTTTTTCTTTGTTTGATAATATATGATCGAAAACATTTTCTGGGGTTTGGATATTATTTGGAAATTGATTTTAATCTCATGACTTTATTTCAGACAAAAAAAAATTGATTTTTTTATTTTTTATTTAAAAAATTATATTTTTTATTATTTTTTATTTTCTTTTCTTTTTTTAAAAAATCGAAATTTAATTCTTTTTCTTTTCTTTTTTAAAAAATTCGAATTTTTTATTTTTTTTCTCTTTTCTTTTTCTTTTTCTTTTTCTTTTCTTTCCTTTTTTTTTCCTCTTCCTCCATCACGACCGGCCGGCGACGGTCATAGGTGAGCTGGAGGCGTGCCCGGTGACAACCACAGGCAAGCTCGAGGCTCGCCCGGCGATGGCCGCAGGTGAGCCCGAGCTCGCCAGCCTTGCTCGAGCCCAGGCTCGCCTGGATCTGGCAAGCTGGCAGCTTGCCGGACTCCGTCGAGCCCAAGCTCGACTCACCTGGATCTGGCGAGCTTGCAGCTCGCCGGCCTCGACGGAGCTTGGGCTGACAAGCTCGCAGCTTGCCATCCTCCGCTGAGCCCGAGCTTAGCTCGCCTGGATCTAGTGAGCCCGAGCTCGCCGACCTTGATGGAGCTAGGGCTGATAAGCTCGCAACTCACTTGGATCAGCCGAGCCTGTGGCCGGTCGCTGGCCATCGTGGAGGCTAGCAACTAGCGGAGGGAGGAAGAAAGAAAAAGAAAAAATAAAATATTAACAAATTTAAGATAATCAATTCCGAAAAGTGTTTTCACCTTCTTAAATTAGGGAATTCACTTTCCTAAATTTATACATGAATATTTTCCTTGACCGGAAAGTATTTTCGGTTGACCAAATCATTTTCGAACAATCAAATGGATGAAAGTCCGGAAAACACTTTCACCAAAACAAATGCACCCTTAAAATATCCGCCCTTTTTACTTATCTCGTCTCCCTTCACTTAGGTTTGTTTGATTATTTGGACTAACTTTTACTGATTTTTTTAAATTCTGTGAAGCACACGCTTTGATTTTTGTTAGTTTTAAACACTTGAAAGTTTCATAATATAGAAATTGAAACATAGATTCACACAAAAAATTTCATAATTTTTTAAAATCTAGATAATGTTATAAAATTTTGGCTTGGGAAGAAAATATTGTTTTTGACTTTCAAGAATCTAATAGGATTATAGGAGAGGCCCAAAAAACCTCTTTTTGCTTCTACTTATGACTTTTCACTCAAAATTTATAAGTGAAAGGACATTATGAGAACAATTACTTATGATTCTAAATAAAAATATTTGAATGCTAAAAGATTAATTATGCTTGGAGTTAAATAAAATTACCTTATGAAAAGTATAAAATTTTAAAAGTAGCATTTTTGTAATACTCAATTTGGAAAATTAGAGAGTAAAGAGTAAAGATGGCAAAGGGGCCGAGCTCGGATAGATTCGACCTGCTATGAGTTGCACCAAGCATAGCCCATTTATTAGTGAGTCGTGTCGACCTAGTCATGGGTTGTAACATCTACTGAATCAATAGTCGCTAGGCTTGGGGCAGGCCATGCCCAGTACGGCCCATTATATCCGTCAGCCTAGTCCGACCAGCCATGTTTGCCAAGCGTAGGAGAAGGAACGAAAGTTTGGAAGAAAAATATGAGAAAACTTTGAAAGTTTTGTGAGAAAGAGTGGGAAAGACAGTTGAAAGGTTTTTCTTTAAACTTTCGTTCTTTCCTTCTTTCTCTACTTTTCATGAAACCTACTAAGTTAGGTGATAGATCTAAGGAGGATCTACGAAGCTTATAGAAGCATTGGAGGACAAACAAGAAAGCAACGAGGGCTAGAATAGATGGTAGGGGCCCGAAGATGATGACCCATTAGTTTGTCATGGAATGAAGAGCGCCTAAGATTCCTCCAATTGGTGAGATTCCACCCAAAATTTATGTCAGGAGCATCTTGACATGACCACCACAGGCCAAAATGAATGGACCAAGCTCAAGTGTAGAAGCTGGTCAATGATTGAAACGTAATACAAAGCTAAAAGTGATATGTATGTCCACATTGATGTTATTTTTTTTTTTCGGTTCAGACACATTGATGTTACTTACATAGTACTAATCCTGACATTATTGAGGAGTTATGTTTGATTGTTACTTGTTACTATAACAATCGCATTATATAATGCCAATAATTGGATGTTTGAATATAGAAATAAAAAGAATAACACTTTACATTATAACCGGATCTCGAGGTCTATGTCCCTGGATTATCAAAAATAAATTGTGCATATGTACTGGAAACCTCAATTCCATCGGGTAACTCTATCATGATCAACCACACCAGCACCACCCCCCCCAAACCTGTTGTGTTAGTTTTCATCCAAATAAAATTAGAGGCGACGCATGCACCACGCGTGCGACTGTAGTTGCATGACTGTAGTGCGGTGGTTATGTATAAAAAGAAAGTGGGTAATTTGCTTTTGTTGATAAAAAGAAAGTTGGTAGTTACTTCGAGGAAATGGGTGACTGCAAGAGATGTGATGATGCATGAGTCACTATATGGAAGTGACCACAACATTAACAGAAAAACTACCCAGTGAAATGCATAAAATTACCATTCTTCGATTTTTGTGTGATAAGAATCATATAAATCTTGGGGAATTGTCCAAAAAATCATAAACCTATTGTACGGCGGCCAATTTAGTCATAAACCTTTCAATTTTACCAATTTATCTTGAACCTTTTAACGATTTGCCAATTTGGTCCTAACTCTTTCAATTGTGTCAATTTTATCCTAAACATTTTGAAGTCTTGCCAATTTAATCATAAACATATTATTTCGATAATTGGCTGAAAGAACTATATAGACAAATCGTCAAATGATTTAGGACTAAATTGGCAAGCTGTCAGAAGGTTTAGAACTAAATTTGCACAATTTAAAAGGTTAAGGACTGAATTGACAAATCATTAAAAAGTTTAGGACTAAATTGGAACAATTGAAAGGTTTAGAACTGAATTGGCCGTCGTACAATGGGTTTATGACTTTTTGGATAATTTTCCCAATCTTGAGGATATTATAATATTTGAGGGTGAACACCAAATCTGAAAGTTGTCGTCATAATAGTATCGATTTATACCTCATTTAGAATATCAATGTTAGTCTAGTAAAAAAAAATTGATGAGGAATTATGACACACTAAACGCACACGTACCGTCAAAATTTTCCTATTGAAAAAGACAGTAACGTCATTACATGATTGTATGTTTTGAGTATATAATCATAATCTACAGATTGAATACGAGAAAGAAATCATGTTAACCAGCGTAGTAGCATCTGATGGTATCTAAATCTTTTACTATGTACATGCATTTGTATGTTTAGTTACTTAGAGTTATAACCTGATTTTAGGAACCTATTCCAAAGTTTAAACCCCATAAAGCGAATCTGGACCACAGTAGTCCACCTAACTAAGTGGAAGGAAACCCTAACATAAAGAAAATTTGGTCTTCTCCCATGAAACTTGAAACATATTGCAAACCCATAAATAGAAAAAAAAATCATAGTATTTTTTTGGTTGAAAAAATCATAGTATTTACATAGGTGGTATTTTGAACTTTTGACTAGCTTCTTCCAGCTGGAATAGTATATGTAACTAACTGCAGATCAGTCAATGGAATTAAACTATTTGATCAAGTCAAAGATGTGAAAAACTCAACCCTACATTCAATTTCAAAATCAGCATATGCTCCATAATAACATCTACCAAGAGAAATTTAAGTTAAGGAGACCCAAGATACTTGGTAAGCAATTAAATAAGAAATTTTTCAGTTTTCAACCAAATAACTTGTCATTTGTTGTGTAATACTGAGTGTTTAGGAGTTGAAATTTTGATTTATATGTTATGGTTGAGTATTCATGGTCAAAAGTTGCATGAATTGGAATAGCCATAATAGTAGGTGAAAAATCGTATTTTTTTCTCCTTTTATTTCTTTTTTCCGGTACATATATATATTGAGACCCACAAACCCGACACGAGTGATGAGTCTAGGCAAATTGAAAACACATAAATTATTTTTCTCTACTATTTTTACTAAAGGTCTTAGCTTTTACCTCTTCAAACAAGAGACTGAGGGAACGGCGTTTATGAATGCCATGCTCATCAATCTTGTCGGTGATGTCGTCGTCACCAATGATCTCCTTGACTCTCTCACCATAATCTCCAGCTTCCACCATAACCACCACCTCTTTCTTCGCCTCTTTTCCCTCTTCGAACAAGAGACTTAGGGACCGACGTTTATGGATGCCATGCTTATCGACCTTGTCGCTGTCGTCGTCGTCATCGCCGATGATCTCCGTCACTCTCTCACTGTAATCTCCGGCTTCCACAGTCACCTCTTTGTTCGCCTCTTTTACCTCTTCGAACAAGAGACTGAGGGAACGACGTTTAAGAGTGCCATGCTTATCGACCTTGCCGTTGTCGTTGTCGTCACCGACGATCTCCTTCACTCTCTCACTGTAATCTCCAGCTTCCACCGTCACCTCTTTCTCCTCCTCTTTTACCTCTTCGAACAAGAAACTGAGGGAACGACGTTTAAGAGTGCTATGCTCATCGCCCTTGTTGTTGACGTCATCGTCACCAACGATCTCCTTCACTCTCTCACTATAATCTGCAGCTTCCATCACCACCATTACCTCTTTCTTCGCCTCGGGAGGCGGCTCGTCGGCCAGCTTTTCGGCAACTTCGGTCTTTGAAACCTTCGGCTTTGTTGCACAGCCTCCCATATTGTCCCTGTCTATCAATTGATAAGTTTTGCTCTTCCTAATGCTTGGGGAGAAAGAGAGAGATTTTATAAGCAAGAAAGTGGGCCTTTCTTACTTAACATTGCAAGTGCAAGGTTCATTTATGTCCACAGGTGGTGATGATACTTACCCGCATGTATTAAAGTTGTAATTTACCCTCCAAAGGGTTGGTGGAGTGGTAAGGGCTTTGGGCTTGTGGGTGATTGATCCCAAGTTCGAGTCCCTTTATCCTCCACATTATTATACCCTTGATTTATATGGAGGTTAGTCTGTGGATTTGGCTAGCTCTCCCCCGGTTAATGCCTGGCCAATCGGACTCTTATAGTGCGGCCGGTGCGGGAATCCGGATTATAAAAAATAAATAAATAAAGTTGTAATTTTGTATGGTTCATTCACAGCTTAAAAAGAAGTTTATTCATTCACTATTAAATGGTTGATATTAATCACAATCTGATTGAGTAACTCAAAGTATACATATTATTGATTAGGCGAAGACCATCTAAACTTATTTTTTCACCGCTAATCAATCTAGTGAAAACCCTTTCGAAAATTACGTGTGGTCCATGATGACTTGTTTACTTTAACTGCCATTTATTTGGGTGGACCAAATCGACAAATAGGTTAAGCAAATGGGACCAAGATCCACTCTTCTCATACTATGTCTCAATAGTCAATAGTTGTCCCAACCACGTCGACTGTCGATAAATTCAGTCACAAATTTCAAAACGAACCACATACATTGATCATCCGTTTGAGATGATTAAAACACCATACGGAGACATAAATTACGATTAAACAATAATCCCAAGGAGAGGAAACAGTAATCTCGCGTTGAGAATTAACAAAGCACCAACTTCGAAATATGCAGTTGAGTGGCTCAGTGCTTGACTCGAATGTAACTCCAAAAATTTCCTCTACCCCTTCTTCTATCGACCTCATTAGTGAGATAGAACGCAATTATGTCGTCGTCCTATGATATTTTTTTTTTAATTTGTTAAGATAACGTTGTCATCGTCATATTATTGATCACATCATAGACATTTGCAGTTCACATCATCACAAACATTTTGCATAGTGGTTGCATGCTAATCACATATAACTTCAATAGGATAAAGACAAGTTTTTCTTCTCTTTTTATTCAGACGCACTCCATCCGATTCGAAAACGCCGATTCTACTATTACTACATGAACATGGGTTGCTAGCACCAAACCCAAAAGTTTACCCATCTCTCATTTATCACAGTTTATATTAATTCTGTTTAAAAAATTTAGCGACTACCTTAGGCTCCATTTGTTTCACGGAAAACATTTTCTGGAAAAACATTTTTCTTATTTTCCGTCGTTTGGTTGGCTTAGAAAAATGAATCAACAGAAAATGTTTTCCTAGTCAACGGAAAACTTTTCTTAAAGTCAGAAAAATGATTTCCTTTTTAAAAAAGTCGGAAAACATTTTCCAAATATATAACTAGGTATCGGCACTTGGACCCGAAATACTACGCTTGGACACGGGAACTCCAACAATGGTTCCCGAGTCCCCGGCTCTCACAACGAGGTGTCCCACGCCTAGGCCCGGGTCCATTGAGGCCAGGCCTGGGCCCCAAGTGCCCACGTCCTGGTCCATCTAGGCCGATCTCGAGCCTTGGTGCTCGTGCCCAATGACCTGGCACTTGAGCTCGGTTGCATAATGGTCGTGCTCAGGTCCCCAATGCTTGATCTCTGTTCCCGATGCTCAAGCCCAAGTCCACGAAGGTCGTGCTTGGGTCCTCAGCACTCAAGCTCGACTCCTTAGTTAATGAAAAAAAAATTTTAAAATCTATTTTTCTTTTTTCTTTTTTCTTTTTTCTTTTTTTCTTTTTCTTTTTCCTTCTTCCTTGGCTGGTCCCCTGCCAAGGCAACCGCCGGCAACCGACCATAGGCGAGGGACGAGCTTGCCCTAGGCCGGTGAGGCTCGAACTTAGCCTAGCTCTCTGGATGTGGTGAGGCTTGAGCTCACCCGAGGCTGAGCCTCGCCCGAGATCGATGAGGCTTAAGCCTCACCCAGCTCACCGGCCTAGGGTGAGCTCATCCCTCGCTTGTGGTCGGTGACCAACCGAGGAAGAATGAAAAATAAAAAGAGAGAAAAGGAAAAAAATTAAAAAAATTCGAATTTTTTGGTAATTTTCCCCAAGAAAAATAAAATCGGATACCAAACAGAGAAAAAAATTTCTAGTTCTTTTTCAGGTTTCAGCCAAATACCGGAAAATACTGTCATTTTTTGGGAAAATTTCAAATAAGCGCTTCCTGAAGTACCCTCATTTTATCAAATAAAGACATGAAGTTTACTTTATGTCAAATAAGGGCTCGAAATACCCTCATTTTCTCAAATAAAGGTCAGAAGTGGATTTTGTTTCAAACAAAACTCTGAAATGACTATGTCTATTTCAAATAAGGGCTTGACTTTCCGGATGATAAAGGCATTTTCATCTTTTAACTGTTTTTGAATTTTTTTTCCTTTTTTTCTTTCGTTTCTTCCTTTCCTTTCTTTTTTCCTTTTTTTCTTTCTGTTTTTTTCTTTTTATGGTTTTCTCTTGTTCTTCATGGGTGGCCGATTCCAATGGCTGGCCACCGGCAAAGCCCGGGAAGGGCTTGTCGAGGGTCGCCTCGCTAGCTGCTGGCAAGGCCACCCTCGAAAGCCATAGGTAAGGGGCGAGGCCGTCCCTCACCGGCAGCTGGTGAGGCGACCCTCATTTTCTTGAAAAATGAGTTTCTAGAAAACATTTTCTAGATTTGTCATATTTTCCATGAAACAAACAGAGCCTTAATACTTATTTCAGTGGTGGGATATGTGGAACGTGTAAATAAAAGTTCATACAATTTTTACAATGGAAATTAATCATATAGTTTTATAAGTAAACAAGAGCCTCACGCAACACACGGTATTCTTCTCAGATCAAAGTTAGGGCTTAAGAATATGATATACATACATATATATATGGAGAGACAGACGGAACAAAGTAACCGGCATGTCTCTTGAGTGTGATTATGGGCCACACAAACGGGCATGGTTTCGGGAAAAAGTTCTTGTATGGATCCGATGCCGTCGTAGCTGTTGATTTCGTAAGCCCCATTTTGATAGGACTCACGTGATCAACGGCTATGATTGATTTGATTTACCGATACTGGAGTCAGAGCAAGAAAATTTCCCCATCCCTATAATTCCATCAATCCAGCCCGAAATCATATAGCTTTCCTCTCACCAGGTTTGGCCCACAAAATTTTGGGCCCAAAGTTGCCTCACTGGGCTTCAGCCCAATAAAGCTCTGAAAGGCCCAGGCTTTCTCTCTGTTCACCCGTCTTCTCCGCTCGGCGAACGTGCTCGGAAGAAAGAGAGAGAGAGAGAGTCGCGAGGACTCTCTTGGCCTTGCTCAATCCGCGGACAAGCAACACCCATCTGCAAGTCACGGCCATGTGGTCTCAATCCTATTCTCAACACCTCGTGCAAGTGTTGTTGCGTACTGGAACAACGTTTCTTGGATTGGCGCAAGCGCAGACCAATTGGGTCCTCGGGTCAAGAGATTTTTGAAGAAAGAGTGAATTTTTTCGTTTGAATTGATCGGTATGCAAGTACCCAGATGGCGAAACTTCGTGGTGATCAAGAATTCATTGATGGCTTCAACATCTGGGACGGTTCGTGCTGCTGGTTTTCACTCAACTCCGGCCACTTGTGAGAAATGGAAGAATAAATGGGATTCTGTAAGTCAACTTATTTTCTTTTTTTGCATTTCCCTCTTAGCAATATCCGGGATTGAATTTACTAATGTGGTACTTGACGTTGATTTATTGATTGATTGAAGGGTATTTGCTTGGTCTTGTGCAATTTCGCGGCTGAAGTGTTTGATGTATTGCTTTGAGTCAATGTGATTATAAAAAATGCTCACTTTTGATCATAAGAAGGGTTCGAAATTGCCGGAAATTTTCCGTGTTCAATGTAGCTTTCTCTGACTTTCCAGAGGATGCCTATTTCGGAGAATGTTTCAGAGTCCTGTAAATTAATGTGGTTTGATTAAGTTTAGAACTTTAGAGCCTGATTTCGAATTTCAAAATTACATTGTGTATTGCGGAGTGCCGGAATGTACATGGAGTTTGAAAGAGATTCATTTGTTTAGGAATTGGGGCGCCCGAAACATTGTAAAAGAGAATTTTCTGTTGTTTTGGCTGCTTTATATGCCTTGAGTGGCACCAACCAATTTGTACAGTATTTTGCACGCACTTGTTTGTGATTGAGGTTTTGCGGCAAAACCATGGTGGAGCGGAAAACACTTGGATGTATGTTATAATCTGAATTACTTCCAAACCATGTGTTTGCATGTTTTAGGGTATCATTTTGTCCCTTTATGCCCCAATTAAGTAGCTTTCAGAAGTGCACAGGTGGAAGACGTTAGGTCAGTCGGCAGTCTTCGTCGTTTTAATAGAAATCATGCTTATAGAAGCCTCATTAGAAGTATGTAAACCAAAAAGTTATCTCCGGCTGGAGAAATAAGCTTATTCTTCAATGATCTCAATGAGAGGCCAAAACTCAGAAAGACTCTAGTTTTCAAATTGTTCCCAAGTTACCCATGTGACGCTCCACATCAAGCAAAGTCATTTAACAATGCCTTTTTAATTTTTTGTGCAGGATTTTGCTAGAGGTGGTCAACAGCCATCTAAGGTAAAGAACGTTGTCTTAAAGTTGGGAACTAATTTCGCTTCCTATTTTCTGTATCACATCCTCACATGTGCAAAGATATATTCACTAATATACCTTGATATAGTTTTGCTCATTGAGGAATTATTGTTGCTATTCTGGGATAATGCCTTTACTTTCTGTGAGAAAAAGCAATGAGATACTTGGTTACATTGTAGCATTGAGATCCTTAAGATGAAGGCTGAGTAAACTTCAACCAAAGCTAAATTTTGCGTGTTGGCCTGTGTTACCTTCATTACGACACTCGTCCTGCTATCAATTAGGATTTTCCTATGTTGAAAAGAAAGCTAGAATCTTGGTGCTTGCTGTGAGTATTACATGAAGGTTACTGACTCTAGATTGGCTGAAGGATGATTTTAGCTCTAGTCAGTTAGATCCCAACTTTTCCCTGCTTTACGACCTTTTCTGAGCACACTTATACACGTTGCTGGCTTAATTTCTACCCAGTTGAGTTTTTACACATGTCTGTATGATGTGCCCTAGCCCTTCCAAGTGTGCTATTACTAAGATTGACATATAAAGAATACAAGTTTTAGAAGACATGCTGGATATTGTTGGACTGCTTTATTAAGAGGTTAATCTCTAACAAGTCATTGACATATTTTTTTCTTTCAAAGCTCCTGTATCATCCCACTGTTCCCACCCTTGAAATACATAAAAAGAAGATCAATAAAAATAAAGAGCTATAAATGTGAGTTTCTGTGACCACTAATATTACATTCTGAGTACTTTACTTGAGCATATTTAATTTAGTTTGAGGAATGTACAGTACAAACATCTTGATAGAATATATCAGAGATTGAGGCACATACAAATATGTGGCCGACTGCTTATATCAGGGCTAATCGATTGATTTCATTGATTAGATACAATGCACGTGATTAAGATTTATAGTTATCATTCAAGTGTCAAGTTGATAACTGTATATCTTGTCTGTATTTTGAATCAGAACTATGTCAGATATGCAACACGTCAGAAGCGTGCTGATACAAAGAAGGCTCTGAAAGATCTCCTCTTGAACAGCGGGTCCTCTAGATTTTCGTTCCAGGTTAACTACTCGCTAGTACCATTTCCTGAAGCGTGGAACATTTAAGATCTCTCATTACTTGGATATCACATCCTTGAAATTGTACTTGTTCCATGCTAGTGCTCCTTATTACTTTGTGGGGCTATCTTCTACCCCAAACTCTTCTCATGAAATCATTTTCGAGCGGCTATCCTTACACAACTGTAGATATCATGTTGATCTTTCTGATTGTCTGGTCCTTTGAGCATCTCTATTTATTGCTATAACATATGCACAGGACAAGAGCCCTGCCTGGAATTTTGATGAGACAGAAAATCAGTCAGATAATTGTGGTAATAGAGGTAGATCAAAGCCATCTTCTCGGCGTGCTGGGAAGAGCCACCAAAAGAAAATGAAGCGTGAGCTTTTACCCTTCATCTAAGTGATATTTCATTAGTTGTTGTTTATGTCCAGTTTGGTTCTATTTTGGGCTCCTCTAACTAAAAGAAGGGGGTAAAACACTCAGCTTTTGAATTTGTATGAGCACACAGCTGGTTATATACCCACTGCCTAGGCTTATCAGACATTTATGCTATTGATATGTTTCTTTATAGGCTACCAAATAGTAAGAATGTTGAATTCGTTATCTACCCTTGAAAAAGGAAAAAAAAAAAAGAAAAGAACGGTTGGGATTAGCATGTACCCATTTTTATGACTTATATGGGTTAAAGTTCGCTTTGGTCCCATAAGATGATAATATTAAAGAGCAATGAATATAAATTAAGTGGAGAAGGGTGGAAACTTGTGAAGTTGTATTAACATGTCTTCTCAAAGGGAAGAATAAAGGAGTGAACTCTGCATTGAATACAGAAACTCTTTCAGGACACCATTGGTTAGTGTTCCCACTTGGCAAGTTCCTCTTTGATTATAGAATATAGTGTTTCATTTTGACTCATTATCCTCAATTTATTCTGATTCAATGTGGATCGAAAGTGATGGAGATAAAGCAATTGATGTTTATACTGTTATCGGTCAATAAAAATGAAGGCTTTGGTCCCGCATCAGAATGTTTAATAGTTTATTTCCCAAAATGTTGAATAGTTAATTCTTTGCAAATTATTACCTTTACAGGAAAGTTTAGGAGGGAGAGCTTCTGTGAGGACCTAGATGATCATCCTGAGACGATATTTCAAGCAACATTCAGGAATAGGTGGTACACTTGGTCTTTCAATTTAAGGCACTCTTCTGCCTTTGAAAATGCATCATCCGGTTTTCAGTGGAGAGAGGATATTAATTGGGGGAACCGCAGAACAAAAGAATGGGAAACAGCAAGTGAAACAGAGTCTGATGATGAGTCAATTAGAATAGGATCAGTGTCCGATAGAAAAATGCTGGGTTTGCCTATAACAGGTCCTTTGAAGATAGAAGATGTGAAAAACGCGTAAGCATGTATTTTTCTCCTTGTTTCTTTCTTTTCTGTATGTTCGGTGAAGTTGTCACATTTGCCTATTGTAATTGCTAACTTGTCATTGTATGTGCAGATTTCGACTGTCAGCCCTGAAATGGCATCCCGATAAGCATCAAGGCCCTTCACAGGTAAGTCTATGAAACTTCTGTCTGGGGTCTTATTCTTTACAAGCTCCATTTGAATGTTGACAATTTTAATGCATCCATGAGATAGTCTAGAGAAAATGTATGTAGCTACCTCCAATGACCTGTAGATCTATTTCTAAAGCCCCAACAAAGAAATAGAACAGAAATCAAAACAAAAATTCTTGTCCCTGATACTTTTTCTTGGAAGCGATCCTGACAAAGCTGTGTTCACCAGTTCATTGATCGACTTACAGACGTTAAAATCACTTTTCTGCGTTCTTGTAACTATTCGCCGTTCAATGTTCCTGCAGTCAATGGCTGAAGAGAAGTTCAAGTTATGTGTTGATGCATACAAGTCACTGTGCAGTGCTCTTTCAGCGGCTTAAACTGTAAGCTTTGGCCCAGACGGGTTCAGCTCTTCGAAACTTTTCTTTCCATGAGTAGGCTTAGTGATATTGTGACATCATTTATTTATTTCTACTGATCATCCTTGCAAAGTTCATATCAGATGGTTCTAAACTTTTCCTGGTGCTACATTTTTTTCTTGATTGTTCAAATTGCTTATCAGAAATTTTTATTTTGCAACTTGAGGGTTTTTCTTCCATTGTAATGAGTAATATAATCAGCTGTTCAATGGCCAAAGGTCATTATAATAAGTATTGCTCTGTAGTTGACATTCTATGATTTTAAGAGATTATTAGAAATGATTAATGCTACTTCATTTTCCAAATTTCAAGCATACCATGTCAGTTTTTGAGGTCTAAATAGCCATTTCCATGCCCTAATTCCCAATGAAAAAAGTCCTGCCATTTCTTGTTTTATAGCCTGTGCTTTATTTTGTGCAAGCTTTAGAACATTCCCACGATGAATGCGAAAATGATTACAGGTTCCGGTGCATGCAGTTGAATCCATTGGTCGATTTTGTGGGCTTATAGCTAAATCTTGTTGACCGAATCTGATTGAACGGTGAACATGTATCCAGATGCATGCTGACTGCACCCCAAATGCACACACTTTTGGCTATGGGGCTTTTATGATCCGTCAAGCGATCAATCCTCCAGTCATTACCTGTTGCAACCACATGTATGAGTCGAAACTCTTATATAAATTGTCGCAAAAATGGAAATTTAAGAAGTTTGCTATCAAGAGGTGAACTTTTAGTCTTATTTAATCTAGCAGTTATCAATCTCCTGAGGAATGGTTACTCGGGACAGCAGAAACCACCCCCTTCGGCTGCCAAGACCTTGCATTAGCAATCATCATAAAAATGTCATCTTTAAAGTCCATTCTTTTCCTGCATTAGTCTTGTTCAAGCAGACTCGGTATGTTTCACTGAATTGGGCATTGTTGCTCCTAGCTAGTCAATTTCCTTTCTCGCGCAAGCACTTTGCTTGCTGGAACATTGTTCGCCCGCTGATCGTGCCCCCCCTTAAGAACCGTTCTGAACATCAGCCGGACTGCTGAAGGGTACGCGGTTGAAAACGGTTCATTACTATGATCTGGACATCAATCCACCGCTAGAAAATGTTCAGAGGACCAAAAACTGGAAACACTCTGCGATTTTTAATCAATTGAGCCGGCAATGCAGAGTCATTTTATTTGGGAAAAGTGTTAGAAAACTCCTACTCCTAAACTTTTTTTGGTGCCAATTGAGTCCTAAATCTTTTGACGTAGTGTCATTTCAATCCTTGTAGCTAATTTTGGCCAAATATTGCTTACATGGACGCCGGCCGGCCTATATGGCACCGCCAGCGCTAACGTGGACAATTTTTAATCATATTTTTTTCGAATTTTTATTTTCTTTTTCTTTTCTTTATTTTTTTTTTCTTCCCTTCCTTCTTCCAGCCAGTCACCAGACCTTGGCAAAGGCTAAGGCCGACAAGGTTGATCTCGCCAGCCACTGACAAGGCTCGCCCTAGCCGGATGGCTGAGAGGGTGGCCTTGCGCTAGGCTGGCAGGGCACTAGGTCAAAAGGTTTAAGACTAAATTGGCACAATTAAAAGGTTTAGGACTAAATTGGTACCAGTACAATAGGTTTAGGACTTTTCTGACACTTTTTCCCTAATTAATCTATCTTGCAATGCCATTACAATAATTAAGAGAAGCATATTGAAACATGTGCATGTTAATTGATTGAAATAAAGTATCAACTATATAGTTTTTATGCACGTTGAAACAACTACGTGAGTCATTTACAGTTGTAACAGGCTGTTTAAAGCTGGTTTAACTTACTAACATCTCCAAACTCGCGTGAAAAATGCAAATAACACGAAAACAGTTCATTAGACCTCAAGCTTTTACAATTAGAAAAAATAAATTCCTTGAAATGCCCACGTAGATGAAGTTTGCTGAGATTTATTAAAATAAAATGATATAAAATGAAAATTTAATTGAAATAGTCGAAATCTCTATAAGTAAGCTATTTGTACTTTTACATAAAATACACATCTATATGTGTGTAATTTTTGAGGAATTTTTGTCTCTCACACGTTTGCTGAATTTACGAAAAACCAAATTATGCACATATAAAACATGCTCTGCCAGACTAGATTAAAAATAGCTTCAATTTTGAAATTATTTTATGTCCTTTCTCTAGTCAGTTAACCATGTGACATTTCAAGAATCATTTACGCATATCAACATGATTGTTTGTATTCTTATTGATCAAAATAAGTACAATATTATTATAATGTGTCGTAGATAGCGTGAATTTGTAATGAAACCCAATTATTAGATAAGGTATTTCTATGATGTCTTGTAATTAGATAGTCAGACAATATGTGTTTTTCTTGTATATAATACAAACTATATGAACTCATGGTAATTTACTTTTACGATCATATTATACCTGTTGAAATGTTATCTCACATCTTTTGCTAATGAGTCTTATATACTCCTCTCAAACCTTTTTAACGTAATAGTAAGACAAATGACAAAATATACAATTTTTGTTTGTCAAATCGAATTATTTTCATCAGTTATATTACTAACAGAGGTCAAAATATGATTGTGGAGTAGTATCCTATATTACTTTCTAAATTGTGTTCGCAGCTCTCATCTAACAACTATTTGAATTTCTTTCCTAAATCAATCCACATTTTAAAACAATTTCTCTATCTCCGTACATAAGTTTTAATTACTTTCGACATGTGTACGAGTGTGCTCTTTTTTCTACTATAAAGAATAGGCGGCATTCGTCCTTGAAGACAAAATATACCCACAGTAATTCTCTCTAATCCTTCTATATTTTATTAAAGTGATGACACAAATAGCCCTTAAACTTTAGCCCAATATACAATGGGGTCGATAAACTTTTAATTTGTTTAATGCAGTCCCTGAACTTTAGCCCAATATGCAATGCGGTCCATGAACTTTAAATTTATTTCATGTGGTCCTTGGACTTTTGATACATATTCAACTTAGTCCGTGATCTATATAAAAATGTTCAATGTTGTCTCTAAACTTGAACTAATAGAAGGATCACATTAAACATTTTTATATAGTTTAGGGACTAAGTTAAACATGTACCAAAAATTCATGGATTATATTGAACAAATTAAAAGTTCAGGGACCACATTGCACATTAAACTAAAGTTGAGGGGTCACGTTGAACAAATTAAAAATTGAGAGACTACATTACACATTATGCTAAATTTTATAAATCATTTGTGTCATTTTCTCTATTAAAGTTGAAGGAGATAATCAAAACCAAAATGGGGTGAGAAAAGTCGATGAGGTAAGGTATGACCGGCAGGTCCGAGAAATTTAATGTTTATCGCCTTTTGCATGACAAGTTGACCTTGCACTACGGGTGATCGCACTGATAGGTTCCCAAATGACAAGGTTTTCTCAAGGAAAAATGACACAAATAATCTCTGAATTTTGGCCCAACGTTTAATGTGGTTCCTGAACTTTTAATTTATTCATTATAGTCTTTGAACGGTAACCCAATGTGCATTGTTGTCCCTCAACTTTCAATGTGGTCCTTGGACTTTTAATAGATGTTCAACTTAGTCCCTAACTAGATGAAAATGTTCAATGTTATCCCTTGAACTTGAATTAATGGAATGACAACACTGAACATTTTCTTATAATTCAAGACTAAGTTGAACATGTATCAAAAATCCATGGATCATATTAAATAAATTATAAGTTCACGGACCACATTGCACATTGAGCTAAAATTTGGGGACCACATTAAACAAATTAAAATTTTAGAGATCACATTGTATATTGGGCAAAAGTTCATGAAGTATTTATGTCATTATCCATTTTCTTAATTAGAAGCTTCACAAGTGCTCATGAAGTGATGACCCAAAAAAAAACAATGGTCATTAAGCACCTAACATAGTAAAATCTCTCTCCTAGTGTGTTTCATAAAGTTGAGTATTCTACTCGTTTGGTATAAACATTTTAGACAGTTATAATACTATGCGAATAGCGTAATCTCAAAACAAATCAAGGCATATAAGCCACGAATGGGTGAACATCTTTACCTACCGGTTCCATTAAAACCTCCAGTGATGAACATTTATTTATAAATTTAAATTCTACTTATTCTCTCCATCACATTTATCCATAATAAAAAAATTACACAATATTGTTCGATCAGTTTCTTATGCAGAAAAAATCAGGAGGAATCAAGAAAAGTTGTGTTTTTCCGTGGAAAATCCAGCTAACGATGACAATATGAAATTTTCTGATATCATTTTTTGTCTCTAAGAAGCACTTGGCTTTGATGGGCAGAGATTTGAATAGTCTAGCAACAAAATTGATATGTAATAATGATTCCAATGATAAGATCGAAACAAACGTTCGAAATTGAGGGTAGATCTCAATTCGAACTAATACAACAGTGATTATTACATCTTCGATATTATGTATATAATGTGACTTATCTCTTTTCCAATACACATTTTATTTAGAATAACTGTAGCAAGCATCGTCGATATTAAAAAAAAGGAATTACACAAGCGGCTTTCTACACAATTGATTGGGGAAATATGGTGATTATAATCTCATATCGAGATCAAATGTGTAAAATTTTCTTATATATCGACGGTGAATGGTTTAGATTTCCTTTTACTTGATTTTTATTTATGTCGATGTTAGAAAAAGCTAAATGTTTGTCTTTTACTATATTTAAAGTATGACACGATTCTTGTTTTGATAATTATGCGCAATGATAACTCTTAGCTTGTGTTATTTCTATTTGAGACATTTAAATACGCTGACCACACTCAACTTCTCCTCGTTACATAGATTTTTCCTCCTCCTTTGTAACATATTACCAAGTTTTTGTTCAAGAAATCTTTTCACAAGAGATTCGCGTGGGCTTTGCTTATAAATTCAAAGATGAACCCATTTCAAATGAAATACACAGGATGCTGATCGTGCACCTAAATACCCTTTACGTGTTTGACTTCTTTAATTAGTTTATGAACATACGACAGTAAAATAAAATCTCGTGCGACCATTAAAAAGGGTAGAGATGAGTTAAGTGCTCATTTCATTCAAGCCAGAATGACCCAAATCGGTGGCAACAAAGGTGCTGGCCGTTGTGCAAAATGAACAAAAACGAGAGAACTTAACTTATTATGAAGACAAGATGCAACAGCCAAAGAAGCAGCAAAGAGCGCAGGAGCTTGATGTCGAT